GGCTTTCTTTGTCTGTGACTGGGCAGTTTTTTGGGGGAAACTGGGGAGGAAAAGAGAATTTCCCAGGCGCCAGGAGGCCCAGGGTGAGAGCCCTTCTCTGTGCCGAGTCTCTTCGCATGGGACCTGGTGGGCTCCAGGCCCTCCTGCCCGGGCTGTGTCCTCGGCCCTGTGCTTCCCGGAGGATGCCTGCCCTCGGGAGCTGGGGAGCCCAGACCTGGCTCTGCTGAGTCACCCTGGGCAAGGGCCTTCCCTCTCGGCCTGTGTGTCCGTGGTCGTGGTCGGAGGGCTCCTCGGCTCCGCCCCGAAGGCCGCAGGGCCCTGGTGAGGAGGGAAGATGTCCAGCTGTCACTGCGCCAGCAGGGACGTGTTATTGTGATTACCTGTGAGGCTGAGCCAGCCAGACGACTCCCGGCTCCCGGCTCCTGGGCGGGGCGGGGCGGGCGCAGGGAGGAACACGCCTGGCCAGGCCGCTGCCCCTCTCTGCCCACGAGCTGCCCCTCCCGGGGAGATGAGCTCAGTTGTGCTGGAGAGGGGTGCTGGGAGGGGAGCGGGATTTAAGGTGACCCTGTGGCAGCCCTGCCTGCCTGCCTGGGCCTTGCCCATCCATGGAGTGCAGAGAAGGGGGGTTCCTCCCAGCCCGCGGAGGCCCCATGTGTACTGCTTCCGTCACGGGCCCGAGTGGGGGCTTTGCTTGGGAGTCTTAGGGGACTGGGTCTGTGGGAGCGGCCTGTGCACTGGACTTTCCTCACCACCACAGACCCCTGTGCCCACACCCTTGCTCATGCCCTTCCCCTGGGCTCTTATCCCTTCCAGCCTCCTGCTGCTCCTCGCAGGTGTCAGCCACGCCCCCACCTCTGCGCCTTTGCACCTGCTGTTCCCTCTGCCGCAAGGTTCTTACCCAGAATCCACACGGCTCACGCTCTGCTCGGCTTCAGGTCTCATATCCTCGGTGGGACATTCTCTGACCTCCCCGCAATCTCCCTTCCCTGCTTTCTTTTCTCCGTAGCATGCATCTGACCTACTACTCCATGTGTTCAATCATTCAGGCACCGGCTGCTTCTCGGGCTGCCTCCTGCCCCTGCCACCTCTCTCAGGCACCGGCCGCTCCTGCCCCTGCCGCCCCTCTCAGGCCTGGCCGCTCTGGGTCTTGTTGGCGAGGCCCTCCAGAGTCCCGGGTTGAGCCCAGCCTCCAGGGCCCTGGGCCTGGGTGCTGGAGACTTTGGGGGTTGGTGCAGGCCTCCTGCGTGAGGTGCAGCTCTGAGCACGCCTGCCCTGGGTCCTGGCGTGCTGAGTGGGGAGGGAAAGGAACGCGGTCGCTCCTCAGCCTGAATCAGGAGGGCTTTGAAGCCGCTGCAGGAGGGCGGACTTCCTCGCCCGGCCAGGCGAGGGATTTAGGCAAATGCTGGGCAGAACTCAGTAGGAGAGAGAGTGGTGAGCTCAGCGCTCACAGCCCCAGCTACAGGGAGCCCAGGAAAGTGTCAGGGAGCACTGGGGAGGGTGATGAGGTGCTGGCAGGTGGCTGTGCAGGCCAGAGGGGGCCTGGAGGGAGAGGAGAAGGTGTACGCGCCAGCTTGGTGCTGGGACAGGCGCTGACGGAGTGGGTGTGGCAGAGGAAGATTTGCCTGTTCCAGTGGACAGAGTTTGGGGCCACTTAGCAGAACAAATGCTCCTTTGACTCCCTGCCCTCCCCCCCTCACTCCTTCCCGCTCCTCCCCTCTCTTCCTCCCCCTTTTCCCCAGGCCTGTGCGCAGGCTTCCCCAGGGTCCCGGGCTTCGGGCTGCCGCCTCAGTGCGCCCAGCCAGCTCCCTGGGATGGACTAGGGGACTCATCCTCCCACCCTCTGCGCCCCAGGTCCTGGCCTGTGGTGTCTCGGGGAGGTAGGCAGAGGTCCCTCGTGGCTGCGGGTCCAAGGTGGAGCCTTAGAGCTTAGGCAAGAGAAGGACTCGAACCTCCTCAGGTTTGAGGCTGAAGCCCAGAGAAGAGAAGCGTGGAGCTTGGCCTCCAACCCGGAGTCTGGCTCTCTGTCCCCCGACCCCGGCAAATGCCCTGGCCCTGGGGGGTCCCAGCGAGGGCCTGGGGCTGTGGCTAGAGGTGGGCAGGGTGGCTGTGTCCCAAGGCCTCCCTGGGACTGCGGGCTCTCCCTCTCCCTCCAGAGCCGACTCCCTCCACCTGCTGCTGGAGACCCCAGGCTGGGCCGGCCTAGCCCCAGAGGCCCCCACCCCAGAGGC